TTTTTTTCTTTTATTATTGTTGTGAATCCTATATGTGCATTGTTTATATTACATTAGAGCAAGTTATGTGTATAATTTAGGTCATCCTTTACACTATTAGAACCTGATTAAGAATAAAAATTATTAAAAAAAAATATTGCCAAACTATACATGGTGGGCCACCAGTAAAGTCTTGGTTTGTAGATTCAAAATTAGTTTGATTTTTTTGAATATGTTTTTACCGCGATATATATTAGAAAAGGCGACGAATTTAAAATAGTTTCAATTGTACAGGGTTCTTCACGAAAATTAAGTTTTGTTTGAATAGGACACCAGATAATTTATTTTTTATTTGAATTGAAAATAAAATTAAAATTAAATGGAAAATTTTAATTAGCTATACCCATTAAGCATTAAGCATATACACTACTTTTTTTTCGAAATTTTAGAAATACGTTCTGAGCCATCTACCACCTCCATCGAAAATTTATACAGGCAAAGAAATTTACTTTTGTCATGACAAAATTGAAATCCCGATTTTTAGTAGAATTGTAACCCAACTATTTTCCACTATAAAAGCACTCTTTAATTTACACTCTTTTTAACATCCCACTCCCACCTTTACATAAAAATAGTACCTACGTTATATACATTATATACAGGGTGAGCCAACGAAAACTTTACACCCCAATTTTCTGGCTTGTAAAAAAGCTTGAACCCGTCCATTTTTGATTCGAGGAGGAACAACTTGTTTTGTTTTTCATCCATGTAACTTCAACCTTCTTACAGGGGGAAGCAAAACCTCCTGTTTTTAAATAGAGGTGAGGGGTGTTGGAATACCTCATTTTGAAGATCTCATCAAGAGCGGTCTGTCTGATCATGAAGCCGTTTTAGCTTCGATATCTCTTGAGCATAAGCTTCCTAAGACTAATTCTCGTCATAATCGATTGTTTAGTAAATCTAATTATGGAAAATTTCATTTAGTATGTAAAAATTTTAATTGGTACAGTTGCTTTACTGGTATATCTCCTTTTAACGATTTTTATTTAAATTTAAGCAAATTTTTTAATGCGACTTTCCCTATTCAAAAAATAAAAATTAAGCCATAAAAGCCGTGGATTACAGCTGGTTTAAGATGTTCATCAAAAAATATGAGATCTCTCAACTATATAAAAAAATTTACGCAAAATAATTTATTTTTAAACTATTATTATCGCTACAGATCTTTATATCGAACACTTATTAGAAAAGCTAAAGATATGTACTATCATACAAGAATCGAGAGCTCAAAAAATAAGGCAAGGGAAACTTGGTCTATTATTAATGAATTGAGAGGCAAAAGTACCCATAAATCATGCAATGCAAATATAAATCCTAACGATTTCAATACTTTTTATTGCAATATCGCTGAAAATCTAACAAAAAATCTAAATAGAACAACTGACCCATTAGAATTTGTAAAATCGTCACCAATTAAATATTCATTTTTCTTAAGAGAAACAAATTCCTCAGAAATATTAAAAGTTTGTAATGACATACACAACAAAACTGCATCAGGACATGATGGAATGTCAGTAAAAATATTTCAAAACTTACCTACCTCTGCATTAGACGTTTTATCCATTTTAATAAATAAAAGTTTTATTAAAGGTACTTTTCCTCCTTTTCTTAAAACAAGTGTTGTGGTTCCATTATATAAGGGAGGAGACTTGACTGAGCCATCTAATTTTAGGCCCATATCTCTAATTCCGACACTTGGAAAAATTATTGAGAAACTTGAAAAAACTCGACTAGTTAGATATCTAGACCAAAATAATATATTGGACATAAATCAATTCGGTTTTCAACACAACAAAAACGTATCGGACGCAGTTTCTTCTTGTTTGGAATTAGCTTATACAAGTTTAAATTTCAACGAGGCCGTAGCTGCAGTATTTTGTGATCTGACTAAAGCTTTTGACTGTGTCAACCATGGAGTACTGCTGCAAAAGCTTGAAATTTATGGCATAAGAGATGTGGCCTTGAGTTGGATGAAATCCTACCTTTTAGTTAGTCCGAACTGTTTCAGACTCGAACACAAGTGACATAAAATGGGGTGTCCCTCAAGGTTCTGTTCTTGGACCCACCCTGTATTTTAATTTATATCAATGATTTAGGTAAGTTAAATATCTCAGGAAGTTTCACTCTATTTGCTGACGATACTACTATCTTGTGGCACAATAAAGACGTCAATATTCTTTATGCAAATATTAGTAATGACCTAAAATCCTTTAAAACATGGTGCACTGCAAATTTTCTGTCATTAAATTTTAAAAAAACAAAAATACTATCCTTTAAATGTAATGTTCCTGATATTTTAATAGATATGGATACTGTAGAAGCCATAAACTGTACAAAATTTTTGGGTTTAAATATCGACATGGATTTGAAATTCAAATCTCATGTGGATTCACTTTTAAAAAAACTCGCATCGGGTTGTTATACCATTAGAACCACCTCTCATGAATTGGGAGTTTGTGCAGCAAAAACTGCATATTATGCGTTAGTTGACTCCCATCTACGTTATGCTGTTCAGTTTTGGGGAGTCTGTTCTGCCGAGTTATTTGACAGAGTTTTTATAATGCAGAAACGGGCAATAAGGTTCTTATGTGGAGCACACAGATTAGTTTCATGCAGACCGCTGTTCTTAAAACAAGAAATATTAACATTAACATCTTTATTTATCTTAGAAACTTGTTGCATGATCCATAAGAACAAGTCGAAATATAAATCGAATACATCCCGTGTAACTCGCCAAACGGGTAACTTGAAGTTGCCTATTCTTAAAACTGAACTAATAAGAGACTCTTTTATATACAATGGTATCAATATGTACAATAGGCTATCACATACGTTGTCAGATGTTGAGTCACAGAATTGTTTTAGACAGCTGCTTAAGAGATTTCTGTTAACTAGGCCTCATTATAATATTATAGAATTTTATAATGACGAGACACTGTGATATGCGTTTTATTTTGTTTTATTTTATTTTAGATGTATGTATTAATGTTAATTTATAATAATGTTTGTTTATATTTTAATGACTATTTATTTATTTGTAATTTGTATACTATTTATACAATATTGTGTTTGTATGACTATTTATTTATTTGTAATTTGTACAATATTGTGTTTGTCAATAAGTATTTTAACTTGGGCAATAAACATATATTCTCTCTCTCTCTCTCTCTATTGTCTGACCCTAAAATTTTGCGCCAAAATTATTATCGATAACCTCTAAAACAGTGAAAGAGATAATATGGAAAAAATGTCTACTTAATAACAAACGAAAAGAATAATTACATCTGTGATTAGTTTACTAAATGCTGGAAATGGCCACCATTCACTATCATGCAGTAAAATAAGTTTTATTCTATACGTTCCCGTACATTACGCAACATGTCGGGTGTAATTTTACGACATTCATTAATTATGCGATTTCGCAAATCATCCAGTGATTCGGACTGGGTAGCGTAAATCTTAGATTTAAGATGATCCCATAGAAAAAAGTCCAGTGGAATCAGAAGAGGTAACCTGGGTGGCCACTCAATATGGCCTCTTCTTCCAATCCAACTTTGAGGAAAATTCTTATCCAAAAATTGACGGACAGCTTGTATGAAATAAGGTGGTAGACCGGGTATAAAAAAAGGACCGAATATGTGGTTTCCATAAATACCCGCCCAAACATTTAGTTTTTGGGAATGCTGAGTATGTACTAAATGAAATACTCTTGGATTTTCATCTGACTAATACCGACAGTTATGCTCCTATTTACAAATTCGTTAATGTAAAATGAACACTCATCCAAAAAACACATATCGAACTTGTAATTTTGATTATTGTTAATAGCTTCACTGATCACTTCACAGAACTAGAGTCGGAGATCAAAATCATCCTCATTCAGATTTTGATCCCGCTCCGGGGCAGATTGAGGGTATCGGCCTTGAGTGTCACCATACGCTTTTGGCATTACATTACTTTTAATAAATTTATAATATAGGTGTATCTTATGACATCAAAAACATTTGCTGAATTTAGTTCAATAGTTTAATTTTCAATCAGAGAATCTTCAGTTGTTATGTGTCCTATTCTTATTGAGACACCCTGTATATATCTAGTAAACGAGAAATTAAAAATATTTCTAATATACTTATATTATGTAGGTATATGATCAAGATATTCATGCTAGTAAAAAAAATTTAGGTATGTTTTCTAATAAATGTAATTATAAAAATTTTTATTATAAAATTTTGATTAAAAACTCAATGTTTGCGAAATATGGTTTGGTGTTCTTTTCATTAAAGCTAAGAAATAATTTTTTATACATATATGGCGAAATATGTTAATTTTCTATTTAACAAAATATTTATTTTAAAAGAACATTATGGTAATCACAGTTAATAAATAACAAATAAAATAGGTATAACATACATTTAATTTCATAATAAAATGATGAAATTATTAGTCTAAGTTTTTTTTAAACTATTTTGTTAACTACTGATATTTATTTAATATAGTTTGATAAAAAAAATATTTAGTAATTTATTGTTTTCTTATAGTGGTGACTTGGAGTTAAACATCTTTAAAATTTTTAACTATTTACATAAAAAAAGGTATTACATTACCCACAAACCGTTAATATAATTATAACAAACTGGCATATACATTTTTTTACGATCACTAATATGGTACATATAAATTATTATAAAAGCTATGTACAATGCATTTTACTAACATGTGTGCATAGTAATCTAGGCAGAGCAATTTACCTGTATTAACAGTTTCTGTCTCTTTCTCTAAAAAGTTGCATTAAGTTAAGTAAGCGATGTATATCTGTTATATTACAATGACTAATAATCTAAAATACTGATGTAGTTATGACAAACACTGTCAATAATAAACATGGAGATAAACATAAAGAAATTTAGAAATAAAGTATCTACACTAATAATTTTAACTTCTATGTTAAAAATTTAAAATAAGCGGGATGGAAACTTTTTTATTTCGTCAAAGCAGAAAACGAAAACGAAGCAGGCGGTAAAGGTGGCGCTGTAGGGAAATGAGCGCCTTGCGGATGGAATCCATCTTCATCAGCTTTGTATACAGTCTTAATAACTTCTCCATCAGGTGATGTATACTGGTACTGACCTTCTTTAACTATATTATCGTCCCTTGAGTATCCTTGTTCTTCCACAAATATTTGGTTGTCGGTTTCATAACCGTATATGTAATTCATAGCAACTGGATCAATATCGAATATTTGTCGAACAATTTTGGATTTTGACGTATCTTCTGAAGAACATGGGGTGTGAAGTGTAGAGAAGGTTATTAATAATGCCATATATATCTGGAATAAAAACTTAATTAGAATAATTTTTAATAATAATAATAATAATAATAATAATAATAATAATAATATTAATAATAATAATAATAATACACTTGTGTTTCGTGCAAAAATTCTTGTATATAAAAAGCATAGCGCTTTTAGAATTAGGTACGCTATCTTAGATATCAACAAAAACTTTTTGTCTAGATTCTATGAAAATTACAAAAAATAAAGTTACAATTGAAAGATTACAACTAAGAGACTAGTGAAAAAATTAAAATAATTTAAAATTGATTTAGTCCTGAAAGTTCAATATTGCTTAGGACTAAATATCAGATACACCATTAGGGACTGCGGGTTCTGCTTTGACATCTTGGGTTCCCTAAAAAACTTTCATCTGATCCTGGGATAGCACATCAGAATCACATAAGTGTTATTTTTGTATGGTCTTTATATAAAACTAATTTTAATTAACAAAAAAATAAAATTTTAAAATTGATCACTCTTTTATTAACTTTCCTTCTCCAATCACATCTATGCTTAAGCAACTACACCTCGAGCGAGGCTTCCGAGGCGCCGTTTTTGTTTCTTTTCCACAGTCACCGACGGCACAATGGGATCTATTCAGCCCTAGTAATTGATTATAAGAAAAATATTATTTTCATATAAAATACACATATTTCAATATTGTCTTTCATACTGATGAACATTAAGAATCACTTTCAATATTTCTTAAATCCTCTAATATAATTAAATAACTTTTTAACTTTAACAGCTAATTATAAATTCAAACCCTTTCAGTTCTCACTAAAATAATATCTGAATGACCTGACTTACATCGGAAATAGAACGCGCCTGTTTTGACATTCGTCATATTAATGACAACAGGTAACACTGGATATCGTTGCCACTTCAGTCATTCCAGAAAATAAATGTTTTAACCAAAACAGTAGCTCATTAAATGATTTAAAATCTTTAATTGTATAACGAATTAACTAAAGATAATTTTAAATAAAATAACGATGACTATTTAGCAAGGTGTGACACTTCAAAATTAAAACGATTAACTTAAATGGAAGTCTTTTTATATTTTCAAAATTAGTTTTCTTTTAACTTTTAATATTTCAAATCAGTGCTCAATTAGATTTTATTATCATCTCATTCGCCCACTTTTTTACTTTAATATATATCATTTAACTATAAACAGCATTCGATTTGTTGACACTTATTTGGGTAAGCTTTATGAGGTTCTCTATGAATATGAAGGGTTGTTGCCCATACGAGTGTTTCCTTATTTAGATTTTTGTAATTTTTTCACTTTTCTTTTATTGTAATTTTTAATTTTGAACTAGTTAATTGTAAATTTGTTAATGGTAAATTTGTTAATTGAAAATGTGTTCATTGTAAATTTGTTAGCTGTAACTTTCATAAATTCTGGACAAAAAGTTGTAATCTATAAATTTAAATTCATATTTATATTTATACATACACATTGTTATGATGTATCAACTATTTAATAAAAATATTGTTAATTAAAATATGTTACCTCAGGCTGCTCAGGAAAAAAATGTTACTACAACTGTTAAATAAAAAAAATATATCCAACATGACATTATATACCTCAGGGTGGTTCAAATAATTGATTCTTCCTGTATATTATTTATTGTTATTTTGAACAAATTATTCTCATTAAAAGAATAAAAAAAAACAAATAAAAATCCTATGTATTTTTTTAATTCTCCTTTAAGAAAAACTCTAGAGTAAGATAAATAAAGTACAATAATGTTCTATCAACTATCATTTGATTTATTATGCATGCAATTAATATTTAACATAACTTTTGGTATCGTTTACAAATGCTTTTAAACATCTTTTATTTTTCAAAAAGTTTAAATCATAAATAATTACATAATTATATCTATGATACTGCCATCTATATCCGAAATTTGTAACTATGCCTTCTCTTTTACAAAAAAAAAAAACATAATAATTTATTTATTTTTTAATAAACCACTTCTAGAAACAGTTACCTACACATTAAAAATAAAATTGTTTATTTTATCAACAAATCTACTGGAAAATCTATAATTTTCATCTAACAACCCCTTGTTTTCCTCTTAGTAACCATATAAAATTTGAAGGTGTTTCAAAAAAAATTCACTAACCGTTAACGAACTTTTACTTACCGCAAATAAAAAGTTGTATATTTTAATGGGACAGGTAAAATGTTTAGTTAGTAAGTAAAACAAGATGTCTGCAATTAGTCACCTGTGGTTAGTGAACATGCAACCTACCAATAGTTCTAAGAAACTTCCTGAGGGGAATTACTTAATATTAAAATAAAAAAAATAACTTTATCAATAAAATCTTGTCTACTTTGGTTACACAAGTTTTGGTTATTCCGGTGTCAACCTTCGGGCCGTCGACGTCACTCAGACGGCAGCTACGGGGTAGATAGCTATTAAAAATTCCGGAAATAGTAGACAAATGATAGGCGCTAACTGGGTTTATGTAGTGGCCAAACTATGTTCCTATTTCCCTACAAACTCAGTAAATGAGGAAATAAATAAAAGACAAACATCAACTTATGTTCCTTTATAAAAAAATTACCAATCTACCCAATAATTTACAATTTATATTTATACAAATTATTTACCTAATGGCCTTTGATGAATTTAATAAACAAATAAACTAACAACTAACTAAATATGGCAAAAAACAAGCAAAGTCATCAACAGGTACAAAGTTGGTAGTTAGCTTGGTACCAGGCGAAGGACTCTTGCGCAAGTTGGTATGCAAAAAAAATATTGAGAACTTAATTTCTACCTTTACATAAAAAGTGAAATAAAAAAAAATATATATATAAAAAATCATGTGCATATCTGCACCTATATCTTAACATCAATGTTTAATGTTGAAACACAATAAACCTTTAACACTCTCCAAATTGAAAGAAGTTACCTGCTTCACTTTTAGTTAAGTCCAAATTATTTATAAGGGAAATATTAGACCATGAAATTTTATCATTAAATGTCAATCATAAAACAAAATAAGAAAATGTAATAAATACAAAAAAATATTAATAACACATAAAGGACTTGAGACACAGAGGTTATTTACTAAAACTCCCAGATTGGAAGAGTTTGCTTAACTTATAGTTAAGTATTGGGTTTTTAATAAAGAAGACATCTAAAAAATGGAAAGATAAACGTGGCCCTTATATCCTGAAATATTTATGGTTAATACCCAGGCCGAAATAGTAAGTGCTTAAATAACAAAATTTTGAAATAGTGCTTTATTAATTAAATTATGAAATATATTGGTAATACATAAGTTATTAAAGTAAAACCCACAAGAACAGTATGTGCAAGAATATAAATAATGTTGAGAATACCTTACGAACATTCGTTTAAAAGTGAATGTTTAATTTAATAAATCAGCAGACACAGTGCACATATGAAATCCTCATTATAATATGAAAAACCTGATAGTAGGGTGTTTCCACTGACAGCATCATCGTCTTCCTATTCAGATAAAGAACCATCCATGTAAAACCAGCTATAAGTAAGCCAGGTGGCTAATAAACCAATGTACTGTATCTCCACGGTTGGGTCTAATTGAAACCGTTGATCTCCGGAGTGTAAACTCTCCGTGTAAAAATCCTTAAAATATTACAAAATTTGTAAATATAAATTGACTCAAATTTCCCAAACTGTACAATTAATTTTCCCAAAATGTACCTAAGCTAGAAACTATTAACAAGAGTCATAAACAGTGTTATGAACTCAAATAATTAAAATTCTGATACACCAAGCCATAACATAACAGAAATCGACAATCAAAAGGTGTACAATATTACCAAAAATATACAAAACATCCCTTTCTTGCAAAGGGTTAAACTGGTATCCTTCCAAGGGTGAAAAAACAAGCCGTTAGCAATCACATTTAAAGAATCCACTTCAATATTACACACTCAAATGCCGATGGACCTCCCTATATGAAACGACAAACTAATAACTCAAAATCTATTGAAATTAGTCATACTCACAAATTTCTTGTCTATAAATCCCTTTAGCGGGTGTGGAATGGGTCCAAAAAAACCATGGGAATTTAACTAAATAACGAAATTCCCCTAAAATATTCTATACTCGAACGACAAAATTCTGTTAACAATCGTGTTCCGTCGTTGACTGACATTTACTGTTAACTCGAACTGAAATTCGTACTGTCAAAATTAAAACAATAACATTGAATTAAAATAATTAATCTGAACAAGAAATAAACAAATTTGATGAAATTGGTATCGAATAATTTATTACCTCTTAGGATCGTTGTACAAGGGATACATTCTACAAAAAATGTATAACTCAGACAATATGAACAAAATACGATATCCCTGTCCAGTGATAGGATTAATTAAATTATAATAATGATATCTAAAGGCTAACAATACATACAGCCAGTTTACGATAAAAATAATGACTTTAAAAGCTTACCAACAACAAATTACGGTTTACCTTCTTTCTGTATATTTAAACAAGGTGGGTAGAATCTTTTTCTAGTTATTTTATGTGGCTAAAAATGCATGTTACAAACAGTTTAATTAATTTTTAGACGACCTACAGTTAGTGAACTATTTACTTGTGGTTAATGTACATTAATTTCTTACTATGGGTATACTTTATGCCACTAATTAAATTTGGTTTAATTGCCAGTGGTTAACTGTTTTCTTGTGAAAGGTGATTATTATTTTAGTGGGTGGTATATATGTATTTATGATCTTGAATTATTTTTAGGCTTTATAACATTATTTATTAATATTATTATTGTGTAGAAACTATTAAATTTTATAAACCTTTATTGGTGCCCTAATAGGCTATAGGTACTAATGCCACTTATTATAAAAATTTGAGTATTCAGGTGTTTTAAAATAATATCAACTGTTATAAAAATATAAAAAGGGACAATATAAAAAGTTTAAAAAATATTTCAGTCAAAAATACATGATGTATTAGAAAATGTAATACAGTGAAACCTGAGTAAGCCGGAACCTGTGTAACACGGAATCCTGTGTATGACGGAAATTTTGGCGATTACCTACATATTGTAATGTAAAAATTGCTTATAAGCCGGAACCCTATCTAACGCGAACACGGAATTTCCCTAATCTGTTAAGCCGGATCCTACTTATGTTATTGCTTTGCAGGTATAAAAGAATTTATAGATGTTTACATAATTAGTTTATGATTTCGGAAAGCCCCATAATAAGGGCGAACTATTATCAATACTAAGAACCATTATCACAGAAATTTAGGTACAAAAGCAGTAAATACACAAATAAACCAGTATTGTGTAGGTACGGCAGTTTGAGTTTATCCGTGAAAGTGCAAACATTTCAAAATGGCAAACCGAAAAACGAATACATTATCGCTAAAATCTAAAATGGACTTAATTAAATGTAGTGACCAAAAAAAACTTACTCCAAAGCAATTGGTTATTTAATTTAAGTGCGGAAAAACGCAAGTGTATGAAATTTTGAAAAACAAGGAAAAAATTAAAGAAGAGTGGATGCGTGGTGGTAATGGCGATATTAAGAGAAAGCCAAAGGAATCACATCACGACGACGTAAATTCAACAGTTTTGGAATGGTTTATGGATGCAAGGTCTCGCAATCTTCCTGTATCTGGAACAATTATTCAAGAAAAAGCAAGAGAAATTGCAAACCATTTTGGAAAAGTAGATTTTAAAGCTTCGAATGGATGGCTGGAAAGTTTTCGAACACGACATAACATAAGATTTAATCAGATCTGCGGTGAAGCTAAGGACGTCGACATGGAATCTGTGACTGAATGGACATCGCACATTACAGATTTAATTAAAGGATATACCCTAAAAGACATTGCTAATTGTGACGAAACTGGCCTTTTTTATAGAGCGCTGCCGGACAAGACAATGTGCTTTAAAGGTGAAAAATGTCAAGGAGGCAAACAATCTAAAGAAAGGTTAACCGTTTTGTTTTGCGCCTTTGCTGACGGAAAAATAGAAAAACCTCTAGTTATTGGAAAATCCCTCAGACCGCGATGTTTTAACAATACCAATGTGCCTCAGCTACCAGTTTATTGGCGAGCAAATAAAAAAGCATGGATGACATCAGTTCTTATGGAACAGTGGCTAAAAATTTTAAATCAAAAAATGAAATTTGAAAATCGACACATCCTTCTATTTTTGGATAATGCAACGTGTCACCCCAAAATAATACTATCCAATATAAAATTGTGTTTTCTACCACCAAACACCACAAGTCAAACACAGCCTCTCGATCATGGAGTTATACAAAACTTCAAAATGCATTACAGAAAACAAGTGCTGCGGTCAATTATTGCGAATATGAGATTCTCTCAATCAGCAGGAGATTTGGCTAAAAAAAAATCAGTTTTGGATGCTATCAGATGGATTGATTGTTCAGTAAAAAATATTAAACCTGATTGTGTTAAAAAATGTTTTGCGGCATGTGGAATCAAGCAAGATGGAGACGTTGACCTAATCGAAAATGTTGACGAAATTGACGAAAGTACAAAAGAAGTCGAAGAGTTATTTACTGAAATTAATCCCGGTTGTAATGTTCATGATTACATCACATTAGATGAAGCCGTTACAACAAATGCTGGATTTCAGTCCATAGAAGAACTGGTGTTAGAAAAAACTGCCGTGGAAACTACTGTGGCAGACGATAATGATGGGATTGGAATTGATAAGCGATTTTTCTAATTCTCTAAAAAAATAAACAACTTTTTATTTATTCTTTCCATCTTAATTGGGCATTTGGCCAAGTAGAAATAAAGTTAAAATACATAATAAAAATAAGATAGGAAGATTTCAGTTACCATCACAAAAATAACAGATAGAAAAAATTATTTTCCCATTAGCTTTTCAAAACGATCTGTTCTTAAATTATTATTTTTATCTACAGGAACAGAAGTTGAAGAATCCGATCGGATAAAAAATTTTTCTGAAGCTTTGAGGAGTGTTGCAGCGTTAGAGGATTTTTCCCAAAGAATAGAGAGCGAACCGATGAGAAAGAAGATTTTAGAATTAAGGACATTCATGGAATCATCTTACGTATTACAAAAGAATAAAAAACAACTTACATTGATAGAAATGTGGAATAAATAATAATTTATATTGTTTCTAATAATAAATAAAAATATGTAGGTACATAGTAATAATAACAACTATATATTAAATGTACGTATATTAGAATTTTTTTAATAAAATCATCACTTTTTTAAATCTACTATGTGCAATTTTTTATCTACCCTGTGAAACGCGGAATCCTGTATATGCCGGAAAATCGGTGCACGACCGTGCGATTCCGTTTTACACAGGTTAAACAGGTTTCACTGTAAAAACAATAATAGCCGTAATTACCCTGCACAAACTCTGTTTCTGGGGTTAAACTTCACTCATAAGTAGGTGAATAGGGATATTATTAATTCACCTATAAACAAATATTTAACATAAAATTGTTAATTTAATATATTGTAGAACGCAAATCTGGAAGGTCAGAATTATTTGAAATTCGTTTTTATATAATTATAAAATTCTAAAACAAATCTAAAGACCCTGTACAAATTATTAAGACCAACTCTAGACCCCAAAGGTGAGAAAAAATACTTGTAGATTAAAAAAGAAACTGCCATGGCCGGGAAGCCAAACCCAGACCTCTACGTTTCCCGGACGTGTGCCCTTACCGTCAGGCTATCAACGACAAAAACGGAAATTTGATGTTCTAGTTCTAACCTGACGACGTTTAGGTTGTTTTTCAAATCTACATTTAACTACAATGCATTTTGATGCATTCAATGAAAAAAGTGTATGACCTCGCCGTAAGCTGCCCTGTCAGCTGTGACCGTCCGGTACGAAAGACAATATAAAAATAATAACAAAACGCAGATAAGAAATCAGATTATCCGACTCTTAGTTCACTGATGTTTCGGTGTTGATCGGGACTTACTGCATTGAAGCAGTATTTTCATTTACAATTTTTTTTCTTTAGTAAACCTTGCCGTTTTCCTTTGTTTATTCCTTGCTTGCCTTATCTTCTGTTATATATTTTTCTTCTTTTCTTGCTTAGGACAAAAGTGTGTAAGTGTGTATGATTGAATGGATGTATTTAGAGTGATAATGCAATTTTAATTTATATAATTTATTCCGCGACTGGCTGAATGGCAAGTGCCCAAGCCAAAAAAAAAAAAAAAAAAAAAAAACCTTGCCGTATAAATTAAATTGACTTTATTTTAAAATTAATGACTCAGTGTCGAACAGAGTATAAATATCATCCAGTCTTGTCAGTGAACATAGTATATAGGTTGTCTCAACAATAAATAATATATAGCTTGTACCATGAACTTATTCCATAAAATATTTATTTCTGTTGGTAAATTAATAACATATCAATATTTACACTTATAATTCTTATTGTAGATAAGCATTGAAGATGGTGTTATGCCGAAGCGCTTAGTGTTTTTAAATAAAATAATTTTTGCATGATATACTAGCTAAACTCTTTTGGTTCCTTTAGTATTACAATGTGTTACATTACAAAAAAAAACAATGGTACAGATACTCACATAAGTAAAAATAAAAAATCCTGTCTACAAAACATTTTTAAAATATTTTACTTGTGAAATATGTACTGCTTCTGCTATACGTTTGAGTCTATTTTGTCAATCTGCTAAAATCATATCATGACTAGAATTAATATTTTTCGAAATGGTCACAGAAATTGGCCACCTTAAATCATGTAATCCAGTTTTTAATAAACACTGATTAACCTAAAACTCCATATCAGCAAAAACTTATACGCGATAATCCATTCAAAAATAAAAATAACTGAACAGAACTCAAATTTTTTCAAAATCTAACTTTTTCTTATAAAATCTTAAATTAAATCCCCGTTAAACTCATGGATCCTTTCTATACTAACTAGATAGTAATATGTTGTTTAAATTTAAAATTGGCTAAGATATACCTAAATTGCTTTTTGCTTTGTACTCAATACATGTTTAGACATATTTTACGCACCGATTAGATTACAACACATTGTTTAAGAGAGAATTCAATTTTATTTTATTGTATATATTCATTATTTAATTAAAAAATTATTATTAATAAATAATTAATAGATAATCAAACTTTTATTGTCTAGACTTACCAGTACTTTCATTTTATGTCACCCGTATCGACACCGCTCAACTTTGTTCATCTCTGATGTTTGTACACTCTCATCGTTTTTAAAATATCAAATTAATTATTACATAATTTTCATTTCACTAGTTGTTAGGTACCTTTTGTCAGAGCCGTACCTAGGAAGTGACCAATTTCATACCATTTATCATACCAATTAATTCCACTCACTTTCTACTGATATTCACAATTGTTTCTTGAAGAAAAATCCTTAAATATACTTTCATTCACGATAAGTAATTCTATTATCACAGATATTTTTCTGAAATGTCAATGTAAGTTACCATGTAAGAAACCCACGTGATCTGATAACCATCAAAAACCCATCGAAAGGGCCTGATTTGACGTAAAAGGAACTAAATTGAACTGTCAGTCCTGTCAGAAATGTCACTGGCGTTCATTTGGGGACTGACAATATTTTATATTATATTTGTTTACATTTTATAAACACCCTTAGTCCATTTTTCATTTAATATTAATAAAGCAATTAGTTATTGTTAGAGATTATTGGTGGGTTAATTCTTTTTTGTTGGTAAGTACAAATTTATTTACTGTAACACGTTAATGAATATATAATTTATTTTACGTAATGTAAATACTGGAAAAATTATTTTATATTCGTAATTGTATTCGAAAATTTGAGGAACGTTTTCCAGGTGAATAAATGGAATATGATTCTTTTTTGTCGTCATAAACAAATACTTGTTCAAAATTATAAAAAAGGAAAAAGCTCTAAAAGTCCCAAACTAATAACAAAAGCTGTTGAAGATGTGAAAATTAACATGGTGCAAATTCCCAATAAATTAGTAAAAAAAGCAGCACCTCAAACAGGTATGAACGGTGTTTCAAAGACTGACTGTGGCGAGTGAAATTCAAAACATATTTTTTTAGGTTTGTCACTACGAACTAGCCATAAAGTTGAAAACATTTCTGATAATGCATCCCCTATAAAGTTTCGGTACTGCAACAATCATTTTACCTTAATTTTATTAAACCTACCTATGGAATATTACAGATCGCTCAATTCAAAATTGTTTATGACGTTTATGATATACAAAATATAACTGAGGAGAAACTGCATAATGTGTTCAAAAAAGAACGTTTAATGCTTACCATAAAGCTGGTGGTAAAGTTTTTGAGCAGATAGGTACTGTGAATTAGTATCGTTTGTGCACCACCCATTACTACTCAATATCCTTTTAAATAAAATAGTTGTTAATAGGTATGCCTTTATAATTTAAAGTGAAAAGTGAGAGCTGTAAGGTAAAACAAATATGTGCTTGTTATATTAATAATATTGATATTTTTTTGTATACATATAAGTAACATAATGTATTTTGTAAATGTTTTAAACCCTGTAACAAATAAATAATAGAACAAACTTAAAAAATTATTTGTTTATTACTTCCCATTGCCCAGGTACAATTCCAGAAAGTTTTAAATTTGTTTACTTAAACTTTAATGCATAACATTTTTTGTCCATAACTTTCTGGTAAAGGTGTTGTTTTTACTTTCCTATCTGTATACAGATATAAGGAAAGTATAGGAATCATGATTTTTTTCGACCTCGAGTTTTCGACGGATTTTTACGTTTTGAGGTCCCCTGAATCCGTTTTGACTATTTTCGCGATGATGTCTGTGTGTGTGTGTGTGTGTGTGTGTGTGTGTGTGTGTGTGTGTGTGTGTGTGTGTGTGTGTGTGTGTGTGTCTGTGTGTGTGTGTGTCTGTATAACGCATAACTCATGAACCGATACACGGAAAAACACCAAATTTCAAACTTAAGCTTTATTCCAGCGTCTAATGAGCTGATTAGATTTTGGGCATAGTCGGAACATCTGGGGGGGTACTTTATAGGTGGTCATTTTTATATTTTATGGAATATATCTGTTATTTACGTTTGGGGAAGAAAATTTTTTAAATAAAAGTTACTTCTTATTTTATTATCTATAATTTTTGTTATTTACAAAATTTTCCTAAAATGGTCCGTATTCGAGAAATTTGACAAAATGTAAAACAATATTTTTTTTTATAAAAATTGTTCAAACAAAAGTTGTTTGTAATATAATTCTCTATAATTTTTGTTCCATAGATAATTTCTCTAAAATGGACCGTATTCGAGATATTTGAGAAAATGTGTAAATTTCGAAATTTGAAGAAAACTCAAAAACGGATAAAGAAAAAATCAATAAATTTTAAACTTAAGTTTTATTTCGGCCTGACGTGAAATGATTAGATTTTGGACAAAGTCGGAACATCTGGGGGGGTACTTTATGGGAGGCCGTTTATATATTTTATGGAATATATCTGTTATTTATGTTTGGAGAAGAAAATTGTTCAAATAAAAGTTACTTCTAATATTATTATCTATAATTTTTGCATTATGTAAAAATTTCCTGAAATGGTCCGTATTCGAAAAATTTGATTTTTATGAAAATTGTTGAAATAAAAGTTGTTTGCGATATCGATCTCTATAATATTTGTTCATACATGATTTTTTTTTAAATGGACCGTAATGGAAAAATTGTAGGAAAAGTGCTAAATTTAAATTTTTCAGTATTTTCATTTTCAATGAATATCTATAGAAAAATGTTTCGCGGTAGATGTATGTGGACAATGTATATATTTAGTTTATCCTCTAAACATTTATAGAGATGCTGCAATAGGTTGTACACAATAAACGGAAAAAGCCTGTAATAACTAGATAGGAAAGTCATGTGTTGGACACATCAGATTTTTTGTAGTAGTGGCAATAACTAGTACGAACCATATTTCAGTTTATTATTCTTTTCGTTGAATACAAACTAGATATAAATAGCTCAGTTTTTAAGGTTATGTTAATTATATCATAATTTTAAAAATTAGCTTATTGCATTTGACTAAATCTAATTAAAATATTGAATTCTAACATTAAAATACAATAATGTAAAGCACCTCTAATTAATATTATGATTTTGTGTTGTAATTCTAACAGTTACCTAACTAAATTTTGTTCTTGTAGTTGCAGACCATAAAAAAAAGAAGAAGATCTATTTTGCAATAAAATACCTACGGCACTGGCTCACATCTAGGGATTTTTACTTTTATTTTCACCAATCGCTGTCATGATGATTTAATCACGTGGGTTTTCGGTATTGTTGAAGACCCAGTATTAAAAAAGTATACATCACACTGTTGAATTGTCGGATGTAGTACCACTTAAAGCTTAAATTATTGGTTTTTATTTAAACTTCGAGTGGTATCCACTATTTAATGGTACAGAGCAAACATGCACATTCTTTGGGTAAATATATCTTGATTTAATCAAACGTACTTTAGTACAAAAGTTGACAATAACCGAAATACAGGGTGTTAAATTTAAAAATTCAAAAATCACTAATGGCTATAATTTGTTTATTTATTAATATAATTGTTAAATAAACTTTATCAGTGACGTACAGCGTAGATTAGTAACACCTTCATTCCCTCTAAATTTTACGCCATTGTCTAAAAACTTATTTGGACTATACTTTTACATTTTATGAATTTTTTAAATCATTCATGCTTTTCTTGGGAACTCATAAAGTGATTGGTTTTCGAGATATTCATACATAAAGATGGACATTCTTGATTTTAATTTTCTAATTTTGAATTTTTTAACCGACTTCAAAAAAGGAGGAGGTTCTCAATTCGTCGCAATATTTTTTTTATGTATGTTCAGCGATAATTCTTTAACACAATGACCGATTTTAATGATTCTTTTTTGTTAGAAAGGGGGTACTTCAGGGGTGGTTTCCCATATAAATATGGTTAAAATCTAATAATTGGGTCCATGAGAAAATCCTCAATCTCTTCATTTTTTATGTATGTTCAGCGATAATGCTTTACCACCTTGTCTGATTTATGATTCTTTTTTTGTTAGTAAGGGGGTACTTTTCTAAAAAAAACTAGAAGCTAAAAAACTAATGTATTTTTACTGACATAAATTTGTATAAAAATCTCTGTACTTTTCGTCCAAAAAAGGAATCATTGAAATTAAGTTTTGCTTTTTATCAGCTATTATATCTACTGGTTTATTATCTATTACCAACTCGTCTTCCTTTAAATCTTCTAAGGACTTTCCTTTTTTGAAAACTTTTACCAACTGCCAATCTTCTATTTTACTAAACGTTTTCTTTAGTTCCACTCTACCATTAGCGCTCTATTTTATTATACAAACTTTGGATACATTTATATTTTTAGTATTAATTAATCTATCACAAACTGACTGATTGGAAGAATTTGTTTTTCATCATTTCATGAACTTCGAATCTTCCATTATGGGTTGAAGACAGCACTATGTCTTGTAGTTCATTGAAAACAAAATCGAAATCTTTGTCGCATGGTAAGAAACTATGCTCGGACACAAGAAATTTATGTCCCACCTTGACAAATCAACCAATAGCTACCAAGTACGCAAAGAAAAAAAATCATAACTCAATTTTTTTTCTGTCTGGAGCAGTTATCACTCAAAACCACCAAATTATCTTTAAAATGATGTTTGTTAAACATTTGAAGTAGGCATGAAATTATTTTATTGCTTCCCCCTTTGGCAATACCTTTATGCCACATACACATTATTGCTTTGTCTCTATCACACATGTGAACACAAAAGTTGTAGCACGAGAGCTCTCGTTGATAAAACATGTCTGAGTGTACTAATGAAGGGTACAAATAATAAGTCAATAGATATTGAACTTTAATTACTACCAGGGAGTTGCGAGCTAAAAGCGTTTTGCTTCAATAATCCAAACGCCTGTTCGGCCTTTCTATTGTGAACTTTAAAAGCCGACTTGAAAGCCATTATTTCAAAGGATTTTTTAAGGCTTTTATTTTGCACTTCAACTCATCACAAACTCGGCAAGTATCCGAACGTGGAGGTCTAAATGAAAGTTTTGGAAATTCCTGTTTAAATACTTTTGTATGTAGCTTATAAGTCATTAAAGTATTTAAATTTTCAGTTTTAAAAGCCTTGTAAAGCTTGTGAACGTTAAGATCCA